TATGTTCCAAATTATTGATTCGATTCTTGGCTTCATCCACTCTACTGTGGTTTCCCTGTAAATTGTTCTTTATTTCAATTAGTGTATCCTTCATTTCTGATTCGAACTTTTTTATGCTGCTGAGGTCCTCACTAAGTTCCTTGACATCCTTATAACCAGTGTTCTGAACTCTGCATCTGACAGATTGCTTATGTCCACTTTTTTTGGTTCTTTCTCTGGAGTTTTAATCTGTTCTGTTCTCTCATTTGGCCATGTTTCTTTGTCTCCTCATTGTGGCAGCCTCCCTGTGTTTGTTTCTATGTATTACCATATTTTGTATTGTATTATGTGCACTTTTTTTCCCAACTTTTTGAGGGAAAAATAAGAATGCACATTATATATGGGTAATACCTGAAATACCTTGTATCTGTTCTTGTGTTTTACAATTATTTGTTACATAAAATCTCTTGTACCATAATATATTCAAAAAGAAATGCTAAAATTCCTTTATAATACAAAAAGCAAGTATCTAAATATAAATAAATATGTACTTACATACATACATACAAAAGATTTTTTTCATGAAAGCTTGGGTCAAAAACATGGAAATGAATTATACGCGGCAAAATACAGTAAGTAGAGCTTCTTTGACTGCATGTCTTGGTAGTGTGGTCTAATGTTGTAGATGTCCTGTAGGATCCAGTGGCACAGCCTTGCCTATCACCCTGCCTGGGTGCTTGAGGTGCACCCTTCTTATGGGTTGAGTATACCCTCCTCTTGTGTTGGAACCTTGGTTGCTATTGGCAGATCAATGGGTTTTGATCTATGGCTTTTTGACTGTTATTTTAGTGGATATCGGTGAACATACTTGATTTCAGATTTGTCTTAATTCTGATTCTTAATTATTTTCTTAATTGTTCTATTATCACCATTTGAATTTTACATATTTTGGTAGACTTTCATGAAAATTGGTAGCAACCATAATTATATATGTATATACTTTTGGTACAAATTAGAAGCTTTTGATTAGACTATGAATAGACCCTTAATATATCTTTGGACCATATTCATCAAGCATTTCCTCCTTGCGTATAGCTATAATATTAATAGCAAGTGTCTTCTTTGATTTTGGTTTCAGATAGACCTATTTGAAGATGTATTGGAACTCCCATGAGGCTATAGGAATTTCCATTTCAAGAAGTAAAGCTACTAAAGACAAACTTGAATTACCCTAATAGTTATTCATTTTTTAATTGGCAGCTTTCAAAGTGACTTGCCACTTTACAGAGAAGGAGAGACTAACAGATGGCAATTAACCTGTTAGTTGCAACCTCTACTTTTGACTCCAGTGTCATTACATAGGTCACTGTCTCAGTGTTTAAAGACTTGCCCCCAAGGCTTAACCCCCTGGGAATTTTATGGTCCTGCTAATTAGAAATTGACCATCTTCATGTCTAAGCATGCTATGAGCCTTTATTTGTAAAGGACATATTATGATAACCTTAGACATCACCTGTACTAGTCAATAGATTCATTGGTTAATCCTTTCTGCAGAGAGTAATAGTGGTGAGAAAATAAACTCTGTGAAAAGACTATGCTGAAGTAACATAATTAGTAATTTTTACTGACTGTAGTGATTTTTGTCTTATAGGTTATTGTTTCATATGTCCATTGAAAATAATTTTCTTTTTGCCACTGAAAAAACTGTTAAAAAGATCAGAAATTCCAAATTTTCTGTGTGGAGGGGAGAATTAATAGAATGTGAAAAATATTTGATTTATGTATTTATTTTCTTTTCAGATATTCTGGACTAAAACTAGAAAGTAAACCTTTAAAATGACAAAACAATTCTATGCTAGATCTAAAGGAAGTTATCAGTTGCTGTACAAAAAAATATATTGTGAACAGTTTCCACATTTAATATCTTTGAAAGTTGAGTCCATCTTGGATCTTGGCCCTTTGTTAATGGAAGTACAAGAAAAATATATTAGTGTGGATATATTTCATGGAATCCTAGAATTAGGAGGGCCTTAGAGATTATATAACTTAATTTTTTTCATGTTTTAGATGAGGAAACTGATACCCAGAGAGGCTTAGTGACCTGCTGAATGAAGGTCACAAATTTGTAGAACTGGAGTTTTATTACAGACCTCTTTAACCTATACCATATGTCTTGAATTCAGTAATAATGTAAAACTAAGATTCTGGGTACCTGTTATATCATGAAACCATTCCATTTAATATTTATATTCATTAAGTTTAGGTTTCTCTCCTTCATTAGGGTGTAGTTTTGTTTTGGTTTGTTTTTGTATTGTTTTGCGGGTATACAAGGGTATGAGTGAATATTCAACTTTCATTAAAACTTTTTAGAATAAGGAGAAAAAAAGTGTCAGCAACTCTGTTACAGTGTCTGTATCTGTTACAGAGTCTCTAGAAACAGGGAAAATGGCATCTACGTTCGTGTGTGTAAATGCAAAGTAAAGTGTAATTAAATGGCACTTGTGGAATAATGAGTTCTGAGCCAGTAGTAGTTCTGGGAACTGAAATTCATTTACAGACTGTTTTCTAAATCTAAGCACCCAGTGGACCTTTCTGCTAGAAATGGCTACAAGCTCCTGGACATCATCTGGAAATACAAAGGATACAAAACAGAAAGCATTTTTCTACCTTTATACAAAATTACAATGTATGAAATATTGAAAGTAATGGAACTCTTCTCCATTTTTCAGATTCTACCATTTATTCCTGTAGCTTGCTGGTAAACTATACCCACTATATATGGCAGTTTGCTTTTAAGGCAAAAGTTTTAAGACATTCTAGAATTCTTGAATTTTCTTTTAAAAACAGGGACCCTGTGAATAAAATACCAACCGAACTGTAAGAAATTTTGGATTCCACTATTGCCTTTCCCCATCCTGAGCTGCTAGGAATACAGTAGGCACCTGATAGCGCTCATTGCAGCTTACTGTGACCTTGTTACCATTGTGCATGTTTCAGATCCCCAAATTGCAAGTTGGAAGAAGACCCATTCCTTGCCTGCTTTTGTATGGTGTTTACTTTCAACGTTTAATATGTACAGCTGCTTTAGAAAAGTAGGACTGTTATATGAGCAATGCACATTCATGTTATAAGAAGCAAACTAGTCCTTGCTAGTACATGCTTATTTATAAGGGTGCACAAAACTTGTGGCCCCTTAAGCAATCCCATGTAGTATTCGTCTGCAGTAGAAACAGATGAACTCTGCAGGCTGCACTACAATATATAGTTATAATTTCTCCATCAACTACTTTCACCTAACCAAAAGGAAAAAATAGCTACAAAGCTGCCCTGGCCAGTGTGGCTCAGTTGGTTGACGTATCATCCCATCGGCTGAGTGGGGTCATGGGTTCAGTTCCAGTTGAGGTGTATGCCTGGTATGTGAGTTCAATCCCTGGTTGGGGCATGTATGAGAAGCGGCTGGTCAATGTTTCTCTCTCATATCAGTGTTTGAAACAAAGAAAATAATAAAATAAAGTAACTACAGTGCTGAACTTGTGCAGTAACCTAATCTTTTTTCTCTCATTAAAATTCTCTAAGCAACATTAGTCTTAAGTATACATCTATTCATTCAAATTATTAGTTAGTTACATTAACACATAATAACATTTAATTATAACAATTCATAGAAGCTAACATTTTTTTAAAGTGTCTGCTATGTGCCAAAGGGTTAAGGTTTAGAACTAAACTTGCTTTGGGGACAAGGGTGTGAATTTTGATAGTGAAACAGAGCCGATAGTGAATTTGTCGGAGTGTTGTGTAATTGGCTATGTTGTGTAGTTTCCTGTGGTGAGAGAATGTAATTGTGGTGTTTGGCAAATGTTTGGCAGCTCTCTTCTCTTGCCTACCAGAGAGGGTTCTATTAGCCTTCATGTGTCATTATACCTGCCTTTTTATAGCCTTAATTCTTTGAATCAATGTGAATCATCTTAAATGGTGGCATAGTTGGCATGCTATTGATCATTGTAGATACAGCAATATGGCATCTAAACAATATGAAAATTCATGTTTTTTAAAGATCAGTTACTACTTTTTATATCGTCTTACAAATTTTCAGTTTCTACCATCAAGAAGTATTATGTTTATATGTTTATGGTGCTAACAAATTAAACGATTTCTTTAAGGACTTAAAATCCAGGAGGTTTGAGGGAGGATGAAGAGAGTAAAGGGGGTCAAGTATATGGTGATGGAAGACTAGACTTGGGTGTCGACCACACAATGGAATATGCAATATATGGATGATGAGTTACAAAGGTGTACACCTGGAACTTCTGTAATGTTATTAACCAGTATTACCCCAATACATTTAATTTAAAAAACCTAAAGTATCTAAAGGGATTACTATCAATAAACTTCTGTTTCTTAAAAAATTTACATGTGTATTAAAAAAAACCCTAGGTATTGGACAAATAGCAAGAAGGTTTAGACAAATGAATGTCTCTGTGAGTATTCTGTGAGTGAGAAAGAGAGAATATTGGCTCAGAGAAACACATTTTAGCATTTGTTTTGGGTGAAAAATCATTTTATGTTTTACTTGGTAAGAAGAGGGACATGCAAGTAAGAGTCAATATGTATTAAAATTCTTAGAGAGTCAATCTGACAGAAATATAAAGAAGCTTACGTGATTTATTTGAAATCTCTAACTTCTTTTTCAGGGATTGATTTCATTTATTTATAATGGTTTCCTAGTTCTTTCCTTAGACTGTAGATTGAAAAGTATTGCCCTTTACAAATCATTCATAATATTACTTTTTTGAGGGAGCATAATATATTAAGATATAGGAGTACAGAACTTTTTTTTCCTCTTGAAATTTAGAGGAGGAGGAAAGGGACTAGTCTATGGAATGGATCTGAAAGAAAACTAATAAACTTGGATTTAATTAATTTGGGTAATTAAAAGTACACAGAATCTAATGAGAGCTGGAATTTGGTTTTTCAAAAATGGATTACTCACTACTTTTTTCCCCCTCCTCTACTTCCCACAGGAAACCAGTTTCCTCCAATTGCAGCACAAGACCTTCCTTTTGTTTTAAAAGCTGGCTACCTTGAAAAACGCAGAAAAGGTAAACTGTAAGATTCTAATGAAAAATCTAAAAATGGTTTTATCCTTGGATAAAACATGCTTGCAGTATACATTATGGCACCGATATTCTGTAGGTGATTGAAGAGTTGGTAAGACTCCAAGAAAGTCTGGATGACATTATCCAAACCAAAAAATAAACCTTTTAGCTTCAAATAATGTTTCTAATGAAATATTTGGTGAGGTGTTTAGTTATCAGCCTCAGCTACTTGTTAATGATTCGGGAGCCATTCCTGCCTTTTAGAGGAAGGCTGTGGGCCATGACTTCCTCTTACCTGACCCCACCAAGCAGCAGGTTATCCCCTGCTGGACCCGACACACACCATGTCTGCTGTGGTCCAGCTCGAGCCTGGCGTGTTTTCTGCCATTTTCTATTATTCATTCAGCATTCCTCTCCATTGGCTATGATAATTGGGAGTTGACCATATGGTCTCACTCTTTCAACACCAATATATAATGGAAATGAAATATGTAGGTGGTGTTATGATATGGGAAAGGAAAAGCAGAAAGTCTCTTCATTACCATTCTGCATATCTCTCCGGGAGTCCCTTTGGGCCTTTCTATTTATATTCCATTTGCTTTTCTTAGCTCTCTTAGTTGAAGTTTAAAGCTAAAAGAGATAATAGAAGCAATCTAGGTCAACTCCCCCTCCCTCCTTTTTATAACAGATCAGAAAATAAGACCCAGACGAATCACTTATCTGCAGGCTGTATAGTCAAATGCTTTTTTGACCGTCCCTATCAGGGAAGTTTGTTAGTGGTACTACTGATCCCATAAATGTAGCAGGTCCAATGGCTCTGCCTCACTTTATCCCTTTCAGCTTTGTTTTCATTTCTTGGAAAAGAAGATACAAATTAATTAGTCCTAGAATTTTAAAGCTAAAAAGGAACCTCGGAAATCATATTAACTAACTTACCCTCTTACAATAAAGAAATGGTGTTGTGTTTATATATGTGATGTAGATTATCTAACTGAACCCTTCCCCCCTTAATTGCAGATCACAGCTTTCTGGGATTTGAGTGGCAAAAACGGTGGTGTGCTCTCAGTAAAGGAGTATTCTATTATTACGGAAGTGACAAAGGTAGTATTGGTTTCTGTTTTCTCAGCTTCTATTCCATGAAGGTTTGGGAGCCAGTTTTACCCTGTTTTCTGGTACAGAGTAAACTGAAGACAGATGGAAGAAGGATAACTGCGAACTTCAAAAATTATAGCCTGATTTATAATTCTATATCATTATTTGACAAATTCTTCAAATTCCAGAAAGCCCTAGAAGTTAATACAATTATGTTTTATTGAATTAGGAAAAAGGGTAAAATAACTTTCACCTCTATGGCCTTTCACCTTAGGAAATATTTATCATCCAGGCTATAGTTGTAGAATCTCTGGTGAAGTTAAGACCATTAGGGTTGTGAAAGTTAGGCTGTCTAAGCACTTCAGCTATATTATCTTGTCTAACTACAATTGTGTGTGGTAAGGTACTATTATTAGCCCCATTAATTTTACTGTTTGGAAAACTGCGAACAGAGAGGTTAAGGAGGTTGTTCATGGTCACAGAGCTGGTAAATGGCAGATCTGGCTTTGAACCTAAGCATAATGGTTAGAGTCCATACTGTTAACTACTATTGTCACTATATTTAGAAACAGCAAGATATATTTTGTAACAGCAGGATATATTTTATTTGCTAATTAACAAATCGCTTAGTCATAGTTCACATAATTTTCACTTTATTATTTGAACCAAAAAAGTCATCATAAAATATTGAAATTTAAAGACTATAAGCTTTTAGGTTTGACTTTTTCTAGGAAAAGGTCAGAAGTCAAATATTATAAAGTAAGTGCTGTACAGAAATAGAAAACATTCATGTCCATAAAGAACACTTCAGGAGAAAAAAGACATAAAATTTTAATATCACTGAAACTAAGCGTTTCTGTGGAATTTTTATCAGTATTGTTTATCAGTGTTTTTTGGTCACATCATTTGCAGATTTTAGGGGTTTTTTTCTTATAAACTTGGGCAGATTTGATGAGTGTATTTCAGATAGATTTGAAAAACATGCATGATGCTAGAAGTTGATCTCACCTTTTGGCTAATCAACAGATTAAGAATTACTTTAGGTGGTAGTTTGTAGTCTGTCACTAATTTACAGTATGTTCAAATGTAATAATAGTATCAGTGAAGTGTGAAATATAAATAACTTTCAACAGGCAGCCTTCTCTCTTCTGCTAAGGGTGAGTAGATGATTTTTGTCTGTTTAGAGCCCAAGTTCAATTATGATTTTCATAGGTCATTAATATGTATTCCTGTTATAGAAATATAATTTTGTTCAGTTTTGTGAACTGAGATCAAGATCTTACTTTTCTATAAAGAAATATCCTCAGTTTTATAAGGAGGATAACCTCCAGAGGAAGGAGGTTTTCAAACCTTGTCTTTTATTCAGTTAGGCTTCTCATTTCTAATTTCTGTAAGAATCGATGAATATTAATGTCTGTTTCCTCCACGCCCAGTCCTAACTGGTATACCAACCGTTAGGTCAAAAATTAGCAAGAGTTTTCCAAAAACCTTATGAGTGTTTATATTTATCCCAAAGGCTAATAGTCAATAAATAAATTCTAGGGGCTTTGGGGGAGGGTATTAATTAGTTACATTCCCGTTTCTAATCTTATCTGATGAGACCTTTTAGTAAAAACATTCTCCGTAATTTGTGTTTCAACTACTTTGTAATCCATTCAGCCAACTCTACCACCACTGCTTTTTAAAAATTTACTCTTCTAGCATTTGTTTTTTATGTAATATTTGAAGGTCTGGTTTATATTTCTTTAAGCTCTTTCCTGTCTGTTACTATGAAGCCTCCTGTTTCCATGGAGATTTCATCTCTGTTTTTAGTGGTTCTTTTCTCTGTGGCAGCTTCCTTTGGAATTCTTGGCCAGTTCTTCTCCATTTAGGGACTTAGGGGAAAGTGGATCTTTAGACAGTTTTAATTGCTTGTTTGTCATGATCTTAATTTCCTTCCTTTGTATCTTTTTCTTTCCAGGAAAATTTATGTATCACATGAAATTTTTATTTTCTTTTGTGAAATTGGATAACTAATTTGTACAGTCTTATTTACCTTATGTGTGAACCATTTACCTAAATTTTTGAAAGCTATTTAGATATATGAGAACTATAATTCTCCAACTAAGTAGGATTTAGATAAATGGATTATAGAGGCACAGAAGGAGTTGATACCACTTACTAGGTTAAACTGTACTTTGTTACTGTTTGACAGATACATAGTTCATATTTTCTAACATACTGTGTGCGCCAAAAACCATTTTGACCCATCAAGATAGTAATGGCTTACAAAGAGTAGTTCCAGCCTCTAGGGTAAATAATGCATTTACCTTTGTATCCATAAATATTATCTGTATTTATTATTCATGGCCATTTGGGGCCCATAAGTAATATGTATATATATAGAGAGAGAGTGCATATTTTATCACCTCATAAAATTACATCCATCCTTTCATCTTCTTCCTCTTCCTTTGATTGTTTGAATCTCATTCATCAAACTTGTCTGGTTCTAGATGCTGAGACTGCCTTCAAGGTAGTCATTCATTCACGCATTCATTCATTCGTTTATTTTTATTTGCTAAACGTCTATTGGATACTAGGCACTGGAAATCCAAAGATAATCCACCATAGAGGTACTCATAGTTTAAGTAAGAGGAAGAAAGGAAGTTATAGAATTGCAGGTGGGGGCTGGGTAGATAAACTGATGATTTCCAGCAGGCATAGTAAGTGATTTAAATAAAATATCTCTGGATCACAAAGGAGGGGTAGCTAACTGCCTAGGGGTGGTAGGGAAAAGCTCATAGTGCAGAGGACTTGGGGCCTTCACTGATGAGGAGGGGTTTGTCAGGTGATGAGAGGTAAAGTGGGCATTCCAGGCAGGGGAACAGCAGAGGCTGAGTTGCAGAAAGCCTTGGATGTGATCAAAGCCGGACTCAAGACTGAGCCTGATAAAGTGAGAGGAAGGGGGCCCTTAAGGCTGAAGGAGCCGGTTAGGATCTGATTAAGGATAGGGCTCAATGACCAGAGTTAGTTTTGAGGAAGCAATTGGAATGACACTGTGGAGGATGGATTGGAATGGATAGCGCCTGGGCTCACAGGATCCTTGAGGGGGACACTGACTAGTATAGTCAAGAAAGGTCATCACAGGGCTGCTGAAAGGCAGAGCGGGCATCGGTGCAGGCCTCTCCGGCGGCAAACTCATGCTCTTTCCATAGCTTATTTGTTATCAGCCCCTTCAGCATGCCTGTAAATGACGGTTCACCCAGAAACCTGTTCCAAACGCATGTTTTATTTTGTTTTTCCCTTTTCCTTTTTAACCTCCATATGATCGTGAATCACGTTATGATATGATAGCGAATCAGCGTTATGGACCTTACTTATCTCTTCCCACTTTTGAAAGGGGCGTGGTTACTTTGTAGTATTCTCTTTCCTTCCCCCAGTTGGGAGGTTTTGCTGCCCCTACCCCCATTCCCCAATTAGAGAAAAATCTTAGCACCATCCAGTAGGTGACAGCTGTAGGTAGGCGTGGTCCTACCAAATCATCCTAAATGTGTATCACAAGTCATTTATTACATCAGCGGGTTGCAATTTTTTCAGTGTTGTATCTTTTTAATATATAATAAAAGTCATTATAAAATTGGGCTTAGTACAGATAATTTAAATAAAACTTTTAGGTCGCCAAGAAAATTAAATTTTTCGTTGATGTTGACCTCTCTCCTCTCTCACTTCCCCACAACCTCACCGTTGATAGGCAAAATAGGATATATCTGTTCAGTCTGGATAAAAATGAAAGAGTCTTTTGATGTTGAAATAGTGTCATAGTTCTTTGAATATTTAAAAAATATTATTAAAGGATAGAGTGTTTGTACAGTTGGAAGTTCTGTTGTTTTATAACAACAACTTCAGTAATAGCCACAAAAGCTTGCCTTCTCTTTCCTGATTCATTTGATAGAGGAATAGTCCTGGGTCAGGGCAACAGCATTTTATAATTATATCATGACTATGTATAAAATGTATAAATGAACTCATATTTTAAAAATTTATATTTTATTTGCATAAAGAACAATAATATCTTTGTTATTCTTTAAGAAAGAGGAATAATTAATTTTACTTTTTATCAAATTATTGCAATTTTATAGATTTGGGGGCCTTTGATATACAAATATTAACTCTATAGGTTATCACAATAAATGTTAAATAAAAGGCCTTTATTTTCTGTCTTTATAGAGACCTTTTAACAGTGTAGAGAAGTTAAGATGAACATCTGATACTTAGTAGGATTTCATCAACGTGTAGAATTATTCAGATACAAACTAAGCCTTATGAAGGGTCTGATGATGACAAATCATGTTGGTTTGCAGTAAAATAGGATACAGTTTGATTTAAAATATATCTACATCCATATATAGATTGATGATATGTAGAGATTGAAGATAGATGTATTTTAAATCAAACTGCACTGCTATAACTATTATATAGATATAGATATATGGATATTGCTTTATCTATCTATGTTTATATAGGTAGATAAAGCAACTTCTATACCAGTAGACTTTCTTTTATCATCTATGTGTCAGGTATTATTAATACAAAGCAGTATAATACATTCACTCAGAGGAGTGGGCACAGAGGACCCATAAAACATTATGATATGTCGAAGCTGGCTCGCGAGGGTGACCGCCGTGAGCCAGGAAGGAATGGGGTCAAGTTGTTACATGTCACGAGTTTGGCCTTTCCTGTCTAAGGGACAGTTAATATTTGTAAACATTGGAGGTAAGTAGATGGCATGAGAAACTCTGATTGGATGTTGAAAAGATCACGTTGACCGCTGTCAGGAGAAGGTGAGACCGAAGGTAAGAGGTGTTCTGAAGCTGAGAGAAACAGAGTTCAGAGAGGTTGTTTACCTTCATAGGCCTGTGAAGGAGCCGCAGGTTATCTGAGGTGTTTGAACTGCTCTCACGTTGCAGGCGGAGCGGCAGTGTCCCTCACTTTCCAATTCCCATAGGTGACTAAGAGGACAGTATCTGTAG